AATCCAGTCATGGTTCCAATTATAGTGGATCCAAATTTGCTAATCAAGAGTTGATTTTTTTGATTTTTTTTTTTCTGAAAAGGCACCTTGTTGGTCTCAGTGCAAGGGGTTTGGAGACTGGGTTGTTTCCATGTTCTTTGGTGGCCTCTTGATCTTTGGTCCTGGATATGTCATCTTTTGGGAATGATTTTGTTAATCTTCTGAGAACTTCTTGATTCAGGAGAACTGCCCTTGAAACCTTCTTAGGAAATGGTTTGGGTTGGAGTCCAGGACCCCCTTTTCTGACACTGGCTCCATCTCCTGCTTCTTGGACTTTGCAGCAAACTGTCCTTCGGTTCCTGGAGTCAGCTCATCCCTCCCCCTGGAGAACAGGCCAAGCGAGCGGTGGAGTTGGCACTTCTCTCTAACTAAGGGCTGCCGGGTGCAGGGCTGCAGAGGTTAGAGACAGGAGCGCCCATGGGATTGGGCTGAGCCAGGACTGGACCTAAGTGTCCTGTGTGCCCCTTCTCCATCCTGCACCCTCCCTCCCTTCGTGGTCTCTCCCAGGAGCAGTTTGTGAGCCCTCCCTGGGCTGTGTCTGCTTCTGAGAGCGTCCACCCGAAGGCAGACCCCGTTCTCCTAGACCAGTGATGGTGAACCTTTTGAGCTCGGCGTGTCAGCATTTTGAAAAACCTAACTTAACTCTGATGCCGTGTCACATATAGAAATGTTTTGATATTTGCAACCATAGTAAAACAAAGACTTATATTTTTGGTATTTGTTTTATATACTTAAATGCCATTTAACAAAGAATAATCAACCAAAAAAAATGAGTTCGCATGTCACCTCTGACACGTGTGTCATAGGTTCGCCATCACTGTCCTAGACTAAAAAATGGGTCCTCCTTTCTGGAAGATCGAGGAGGGAAGCCTTCATCCCTCCCCCGGATCTTATGGAAAGAATATTAGCAGCATTTGTGTGTGTTATTCTTTGAAGAATTATAGGCACATGTCCTGAGGGTGATGCTAAACTATGTTTTTAGCAGGGTGAATTCAGGACTCAATGGGGGCGGGGAGGGGGGGCGAATCCAAGAAATAAACACAGCCATTTCCTGTCTACAGGGCTCCAGGTGCAAAGTGCACACAAGTATCAACTCACTTTATTCTCACGATTAGCCTCTGAGGTCTGTAAAATAGCTGTCCTCCTGTAAACATGGGGAAACTGAGGCATGGGGCATGTCAGCGGTTGGCATGATGATATAAGTAGTAAGTGGCTCCACCCACATCAGAAACGAGAATTCTCCAAGGTTGAGGGAGCTTCCAGCCCCGTGTTGTAACTTCTGGATAGCTGGAGGTTGATATCTGGGAGCAAAATCCCCACCACCACCACCACCACCTCCCAAAAACCGCTGCTGATCACAGACAGGACTTTCTGGAGATAAGCACATCATCCCCAGGGGATCAAAATGCCTCTGCATCTCGCCTGTAACCGTGGGGTGGGCAGGGCTGGGGGAGGCGGGGACTGCCATCCACCGTTGCTCTGAGAACAAAGCCAGCCTGGCATCGCAGGGAGAGCCCGGGACGCGTTCCCTACGCTCCGCTGGAACTAGACAACCTTTCAATCCATTTAGCAAAGTGTCCGCAGTTCCCGTTTCAGGGTGGATGGAGCAATAATAAATTTGCAAAGAAAGTTAATCTGTGTCCAAAGCATTTTAGTAAATTAAAAAGGGGGTGGAGGGGCAGAAGGGGGATATATCGATTCTTGCCAACTTCTGTTTGACTGACTGCCTCCCTAATAAGTCCTCTTTGCTCTTTAGTTTTTGGATGGAATAATCTGTCGGTTAATCATTTTCCGGAAACAGGAAAATGCACTTTAGCTAATGCAGTTCCCTTTCTTGCAGAGCCCTAATCACTTAGAAAGGCGTCCCAATTCATAACCCCACTTCCCAACCAGGAAAGCCTTTCCCACCAGCCTTCTCCCTTTATCTCCCCGGAGAACCCCAGCACACCTTCCTCCCACCCCACGCCTATCTCGTACCTTCCATCTAATGCTTTGTGTTTTTATTTTTTTTTTAAAGCAAATTCCCTTTTCAGGTCACTTCTCCACATGCCCCCTCAGGAAGGGTGAGGTACTCCAGCCCCAACAAGTAATTGGCCGGAACTAGGCTCTCGGGCACTCCGGATAGATTTTGTTATTTTTATTTAAGTGTCAGCCGAAAATGGTGGCTCTTGTCTCTCGCAGGGACCGTACTTAACAATAGCTCCGTGCTCTGGCCTCACGCTGAGATAAACACACCCTCAGGAACCCTCACAAAGGCCCCGAGATAATTGCGAAGGGACAGTTACCGAAAATGAAGCGCCAGCCCCGAGCCTTCTCCACGCCCCATCAGTAACACCATTAAAGCCGTCAGTTTGTCAGCCTACTGGAGGTATTTATGAAATCAATACACACTCCCACAGATGGATGGCGGCCGTATTGTCCGCCGGAGAGGAGAGGCTCAATGGAAAATGAAATTAATAAAATGTATAAGCAGATTGTCATGGAGAACAGATAAATTCCCTACAATCTACTGTTTTGCTCAGCTGTGGCAGGCAGTAAGGGGGGAGGGCGGGTAGGGAAGAAAGCTTAGCCTGGGCTCCTTAGACTCGGAGCAGGACTCGGAGTATGTACAGCGAGAAAACAGTGAGCAGAAACCCAAGCGGCCGCCCGGCCCGAGCGCAGGATTTTGCCTGTGTAGCCACTTTTGTGGGAGATTTCCCAGCAGCTCCACCAGATGTGTCTGCGTAAATATTGCTTTCTCCTCTGCATCCCACCATCCTGCAAACCAGAACCTTCATGCAATCGTTGTTCTATCTGTCTGGTTGGGGTACCTTAGCTTCAGAGGGGTAGTGCATTGCTGGGGTCTGTGTGTGCCCCTTCTTGTCATTTCCAAACATGGTTGGAGCGGGCGGTTCTAACCCTCTGTCTTGGGTCTGCTGCCCCCGCCTGTATACTGATCATCAGCTGTTCGCCGAGTGTGGCCTGAGTGTGGCCCAAGCGGCCACAGATAGCAGCTCAGCCTGGGAAGCAGGGGGCAGGGCTGGCTGTCCTGGAGACCAGCCTCCGCTCGCCAGAAAAGACTGGGCCCATTGTGGCTGCCGGAGCCTGGGGGACAGCCCAGATGCCCGTGGAAATTGCATTAGTTGGATGACAGGACCCTGGCCCCCTTCTCTAGGAGGCTGATGGAGAGCAGAGGCGTGGCCTCGGTGACACTGCCGACCTTTGCTGTCATCATGGGCTTTGTTCAGCGCCCGACTGCAGGCTGGAGCCCTGCTCATTGAATCAGGCCCAGCCGGGGGAGCCTGCAACCAGGCCCCGTGTGCATCTAAATTGACTTACATCAGTTGCAGGCCGAGGAAACTGGATTTGAGAGGGGGAGGCACCCTCTTATTCAGCCCCAGAAGCCACACGTATTCCGATCTGTACCCAACCCCAACTGTGAGCCTTGCCTTGGAGCCTAACAGGGTCCCAGACAACCCCCAAGGGTCTCAGAGTCTGCCAGTCGCTCAGAGTGTGGCAGCTCACCTCAGAGGTGGGAGAAGGCAAAGGCACGCCTCACCTCCATGTTCCAGTTTCCCTCCTGCCCCCGGGCAAAATGTCCATCCAGAGGCCCAGGTTTTGGTGGAGGATGGTGGTCTGGCCTCTCTTTCCAGCTGCATCTGGAGCCGCCTACAGCCATTGCTTAGGTGTCCATGGGAATGGGCAAAGGGGTGTCCCTGGGTGCACTCCGACTCTAGGACACCTGGCAGTTCAACACGTGTTTTTCTGTGACCCAGCACATGCTCCCTGTAGGACAGGAAAGTTCATCCTAGTGTCCTGAAATAGCAGTGTGGAACCATATAGCCGTCTAAGCAAGTGGATGATATACAGGCATTAAAAGTGTTGGCATAGATGTACTGCTAATGACATGAACAGATGTTCTCAATATAGTAAGTGGAAAAGAAGTTATAACAGACTATATGCTATGAGATCATGTTGGTGAAATTTATATATAAATTACTCCTAATTGGTAACAGTGGTTATGTTTGGGAAGGTAAAATATTTTTTTTGCCTTAATATCTGAAGGTTTTGGTGTGCCCTTCAAAATAATGGAGAGATATAACTACAAATATGCACATGCACGTAGGTATATAATATATGATTGGTCTATGTCGCTATAGATATACATGTATGTATGATTGATTACTCGCTGAGATCCCATGCAGCCTGAGGTATGAGTGAAAACAAGTGCCTGTGTTGGTCTCGCAAATATATATATATAACTGGAGAACAAAATGGAAAAGACCTTATAGTTCTTAGGAAAGGAAACTGAGGCGTGGGGAACTCTTAAAGAGGACCTGGCAGGAGGTTTGGGTTTGAGCCAGCTTGGAGAGTTCCTTGCCCTCCCTTCTTGAAGCAACACCTTAGCGCTGCCTAATGTGGGGTGAGGTGCCAATGGGACCCCCACTTTGGATGGTTTTGTGGAAATGCAATTTGAATTCATCATGCCTGTCACTAAGATGACCCAGGAGGCCCAGAGGACTCTAAGCGGCAGAGATGGTTGGTCCCTGTCAGAAAATCAGGAGGCCAGCTCCATTCCCACCCCAGATGACAAAGGCAGCGGGTCCTTGAGAGATGGGAGATGGAGAGGTGGTGACCTGCCATGGGGGAGGAACACGTGCGGGAGGAGGGGCAAAGGGTCGTCTCTGGGAGGTGGCAAAACAGAGAGTTGGGTGCAGTGTGTGCAACAAATAACCCAGTGGCTTGGCTCCTGGCCTGGAGGTGCGAGACCACCCACAGAGCCCGCCCTGGAGGCGAGCGGCTCCCCCTGGTAACCATTCCAGCAAAAGCTATCTCTAAGGAACAATGCGCAGGCTTGTGGCAGCCTGGGGCCTGAGACTAAACAGTCCCCCAAACCGCCTGCACAGGGTTTTGTTATCGTAATGAGATGCAGACAGAGCCAGCCTGGTGGCTAACTCGGTGCCTCTCTTCCTCTTGTTTAGAGATCTGAGCGAGAACCAGATCCTGGGCATCCCGAGGAAGGCATTCCGCGGCATCGCCGACGTGAAGAACCTGTAAGTAATGTTTCCGCTGCTTCGCTGCAGATGTGGCTCTCAGGCCAGAGCGGGGACGCGGGAGGGGACAACCAGGCGCTAGGCTGCGCCCTGTATGGCCTGGGCCAGGCGCCTTGGAGACCCTGAGGGGTGTGCTTCAGTGGTTTCCAGGGAGCACACGTCGAATGCCATGACGGCTCCACACAGTCCTGTTCCTCCTGGCTATTCGGCCCCACATATGAGCGTCAGTGTCTCAGATCCGGGTCAGAGCTGGCCCTGCAGTAGCTCTGTGTTCTGGGACTCAGTTCTGCTTCTCCCAATGTCACCGTCATCTGTAAAACTGGGCTGATAGCCTTGGGGGCGGGGGGCGGGGGGTGCCGATGCAAGTGAGAAAATATTTAAGTACTGCGTGGCACATAGTAAATGTTCAACAAATGGGAGCCTTGATGATGATGATGATGATGATGATGATGATGATGATGAAGAAGAAGAAGAAGAAGAAGAAGAAGAAGAGGAGGACTGTGGTGGTGACAATTATCAGGAACCTGGGGGACAGAGAAAGATTCAATTCACTAGATGCTTGGATGTTGTTGTTGTTTTAATTTGAAATAATTATTGATTCACAGGAAATTGCACAAAATGGTAGACAGGTCCATGTGCTGTTTCACCCATTTTTCTCCCAATGGTGGCATCTTACATAACGATAGTTTAATATCAGAATGAGGAAATTGATGTGGTATATTCCACCGACCTTATTCTTCAGATTCCACAGTTTTATACACACTCATTTGTGGGTGGGTGGGTGGGTGAGTGTGCGCACGCGCACACTCATAAAGTTCTGTGTGGCTGTCTCACATGCCTATCCCTGTGCCCATGGCCTCACTCCATGCAGGACCGTTCCGTTGCTGCATTTTGAACTTGCCAGATAGCCTTGGTCATTTCCTACCCAGCCTCCACTGTGCTGCTGTCAGCATCTCCTCGCCCATAAGGAGTGTGCCTTCTGAATGTTCTACCCGCACCACTGTGTCCATGTTGTCAGGACCAGAGAGGGGCACAGAAGGGCTGGTTGGAGTGAGCGGGCCTTCCTGCCCCTGGCCTCCTCCACCAGGCCCACATTCAACTTGAGATGTCTTGACGGAGGTTTTTAAAACTACTTTTGCTGTCTCTGTTCCCTCTAAGGACAGTAGGGATTTGAGGGAACTGGGAAGGTGATGGTGGCTTCCAGGTAGAGGTGACCTGCTTCCCCACCACTGCTGGGAACTTGGCGGGAAGCTTTTCGCGTTAAACATGCAAAGCACACAAGAGGGCAGAGGCATGTCAAGGTGAAGGGTGCAGAGGACAGGGAGGACTTTGGAAGGGGAGCCCAGACTGGAGGCTGCCCACCATTTTGTCCGGACAGAGGCGTATGCCCAGGAGCAGGAGAGGGCGGGCAGGGCAGACAGCCTCAGAGAAGGTGACTCAGCATCGTGCGCATAAACCAAAGCAAGCGGCTGTGCTAAGGGTGTCCCAGAAAGGATGACAGGAGGGGAAATAGAGACCCTTTAACCTCCAGGTCAGCCTGAGAACACTGAGGCCCAGAGAAGGGCGGCGCTGAACTCAGGGTCAGCCAGCTCCTTGAAGGTCGAGCCCCAGATTAATATTTTACGTATATAAAGTGGTCTGTCTATTTGTCGGATCTCATGGCTCTAATCTTAAGCGGGCCAGTTAACAACCCAAAAACACCCAAACCGTGATGATGTATGAACAGGGCTGTGTAATTCTGCTCCATTTCTGATTCTCGAGAAAGTGGTTACATCTCACAGTGGGCCTCAGTGGTATCTGGAGGCTTGGGGTTTATCGTTGTTGTTTTTCAGTAACATCTTTAACCTCACAGAGGCCTCTGGAGCGCAAAGGTCCGAGGTTCTGCAAGCACAGGCTCCCGAGTCACCCGGGAGCTGCCGTCAGGCCTCCTTCCCGGCCACACAGAAGTGTGTCACTCAGGGGCCTGAGCAGCGATGATCTCTCTGGTTTATCCCCGGGGTCAGCATGTGGTCCTGTGGGGAGAGGGGAGGGCAGTAAACTCACCGCTTAACGGATGAATTAACCGGCAGAACTAAAGACATATGGGTCACCTGACACCTCTCATCGGTTCGGTCAGCACACGTTTGTTGGCCAGAACTTAAAAGTCCCAAAAGGGTAATTCCTGTTCTCAGGTAGAACTGGGGGCAAGAAACACGGGCAGACAAGAAAGTGTCCTGTGATTCAACAACCCGAGTAAAAAGTGGCAAATGAGTGGCTACGCATAGTAAAGGGCTGTCAGAGCTCAGAGAAGAAAACAGCGTTGGGCAGCGCTGCTAGTATCACGGCTTTGGGATCTGATAGATCGAGGTCTGATCCCCAGCTGTTCTGTGCGGCAGCCTTAAGCACGTTACTTGCCAGCTCTGAGCCTGGATTTCCTCCACTGTAAGACGAGGATAAGAATTGTACTTAATCTTCTGGACCTTTTGTGAAGATTAATAATGCGTATGAATAACTTAGTGCTATGCTAACATGGAAGTTATTTAGAAAGTTCTAGCTCCTACTATATTCTTCCGTTGTTATAATTGTAAAGACTTTATTTGGGCCTGAACAATGATCGGAATTCACAGCATAGACAAGGCAAACAGGGTGTGGAAAGTGTGGAGGAAACCTGTGTAAGGTGAGCCCCAAGGACACAGAGTCGTCTGGTGGGAGTGGGGTGGTTATGAGGCAGAATAATAGGTGATGAGGTTAGAAAAAAAAAGAGGAGGCCAGGTGGATGCGCCTCGCCTGCGAGGAGTGTGGACTTGAGATGCAGATGCTAAGAGTTAGACTGGCTTCTGGCCGGGGATAGGCCGCGATGAAACCGTTGGCTGTGGAAGAGACACCTAGGGCAGGAGGAGGTAGAAAGGGGAAGGCTGGGCTGGAGGTGGAGCTGGAGTTCAACATGAGGGATCAGGGCTAGCACTCGGGATGGAGCCGTCGGAAGTGAAAGGAGGACTCCATGGGGGCCAACTCAACAGAGCTTGTCGAACAGCGAGTTACGGGCGCCAGGGGAAAAGAAGCAGAAAGTGATGCACTACGGGCTCTGACAACGCAGAGAATGATGGCAGGTTCTCGCAGCCATTCATCCATGCAGCCGTCAGAATGTTTTTCTGAGCCTATTAAATGCCAGTTCAGGGGAAACCTAAGGTGAAGTAGATAGATCTGTGAGCTCCGGCCTCCTTGGAGCTTCCAGCCCACGGAGATTGGAAGGTGAGGCGGGAGAGCCAGGCTGGAAGGGCAGGAGTCGGGCGTGGAGTCATGTCACGTCCTCCCTGGACAATGTGTGCTCAGAAACTCGGGGCCGACGTGCCATCCGGTTCCTGCTGGTCTACAGGCCTCAGCTTCCATGGGTTTTATAAGAGGAAGTCCAACTACTAGTAAATAATCTTACAGTCGTGAGAGAAAAGGTCATGTGGGTAATTAGAGATATTGGTTTGGAGCTGAGGAGCAAGTTCAAAGAGGGGAACATCTGGTCAAGGCGATAATGAATTGTGCGTTTAAATCTGTATCCGTACATGCAAAATGGGAAATGTTTTGCAGAAATTACGTCTGTATGAAACCTGTTAGGGAAGCACTGCCCATCCTACTAGACGTCAGCTACCCGCAGGCAGATTGTGCCCATCCCCTCCTCAGTCTGTTCGAGAGCCAGCTCCCAGGCCCGCCCTCCCCTGCCCCTGTGTGAGCTGGGACTATTACTTAAGTAATAGTAGAAGATACATTATTGGACAAGCGGGAAGTGACCGCAATTGGGCCTGTCCATGATTCCATGTGCTTCACTAAGAGGAGAAAATCTGCCTGGTGTGGCTCAGTGGTTGAGCGTCTGAAATCAATAAAAATATAATTTTTAAAAAAGAGGAGAAAATCCAGGACTTTCTACTTTTTTGAAAAAATATATTTATTGATTTCAGAGAGGAAGGGAGACAGAGAAAGAGATAGAAACATCAATGATGAGAGAGAATCATTGATCAGCTGCCTCCTGCACACCCCCTACTGGGGATCGAGCCCACAACCCAGGCACATGCCCTTGACCAGAATCGAACCTGGGCCCCTTCAGTCTGCAGGCCGATGCTCTATCCACTGAGCCAAGCTGGCCAGGGAAGACTTTCTACTTTTTGTCACTTTGTCATTGTGACATGGATTTTCTTTGCTTGCCCTAACATTCCCCTTTAAGGAGGAAGAGTCTGTGATGTCCCCACTTTCCAGATGAAAGGATTCAGTTTCAATCGGCGGTGCAATTTGCCAAAAGTCAGCAGACCCCAGCGGGCCGAGGCCTCCCCGCCGAGCCTGCCCTCAGTGGCACACCCGACCGTCTTTTGGACTCTGTGCATTGAACGTCTGTGCACACAAATCCCTCCTCACTCAGCCATGCCAGCAGCAGGGAGAATGGGTGGTACCAGGGGCTGCTGGAGAGCAAAGGTCTGACTCACAGAGGCAGGGAGGCAAGTGCACAGCTCTCAGAAGAGCGAGAGAAAGGACGCAGACGCTGGGACCCTGTGGGAGTGTGGAACCACCCTGCACACTGGTGCTGAGGGGACGGGGTACCCTGCCCCCGGGCTGTGCAAGGAACCCCCTAATTGCTTCCTGCTTCTCCAGAGATGAGAGAAAGTAATTAGCTGGGGACACCACTCTGCAGTTGCTAAAAGGTGACTTTATGGGCTGGTCCCACTCTGCTGCTGCCTGGAAGGGGGAGACTGGCTATATTTAAAGAGACAGGCAGTTTGATGAGCAGGAAGAGCCGCTTGGAGAGACTGGCCTGTAGATAGCCCAGGGGTGGGGAACATCTGGACCACGGGCCATATAAGGCCTGTGAAATCATGTGGTCTGGCCCTGCCAAGGCACTAGGGGTGAGTTAATTAAATACAGCAGGCTAATTTTAAGTTGATAATTTGGTATGGCCCATGAATGATATTATACATATCCAAATGGCCCTTGGCAGAGAAAAGGTTCCCCACCCCTGATAGACCAACACTCAACAACAC